TGTTACTTTTCAATACTTATGTTGTTATTGTTGTTGCATTTGTTGTTGTTGCTGTTGTTTTTGCTGCTGCTGCTTGTTTGTTACTGCTGTTATTGTTTATTTTCTGTGAATGTCATCATTACTATTCTGCTGTAAGCTGACAAACACCTCTTTTTTCATTTGGTGCCCAAATTTGTTATTTGTTAAAATTGAAAGTCTGATCAGTGACCCTGCTTTTGAGGAGAAAAAAAGTCAAAGTGAAACTGTGACTAGTTTTTTAAAAAATAGAATTCAAATTTCGGAATGACTCTGGTTTTCAACGGTTATGTTGACAAAAAAGCTCAATTTTTCTCGAAACTGCAGTGAATTTTTTAAAAAGACGTTTTGTCAGCTTGCGGCAGTATTGCTGTCGTTGGTAACGTTGTTGTTATTATTCTCGTTATAATTTCTGTTGTTGATTGTTTATACTTGTTTATAATAATGTTTCACGTTGAGTAAACTCAACTTTTCTCTGTTACCTGTGTGTTCCATTAACGTGTAGATGTATTCTTCGTTTGTAGCTACAAAAATCGGCCCTTCGATTATGGCAAAATCGACTCCTTCCAGCAGGTTAATCTCGCTTTGATTCGAGGCACTGTTGATATGGTTGGTCACGGTCACATCTATTGGGAACGTGCCGGGGCTTCCTGTAAAGGTGTACTTCATGACAGTCTGTTGAAATACCAAGAACAATGGGTGTCATATTGTCTTCTCAAGACCGTCCTTCCTTTCATTTTTAAACTTTGTGTTATACCATAGTATGTTTTACTACGTTGTGTTGTGTTGTATAATATTGTGTTGAATTATGTTGTGTTGTATTGTGTTGTGTTGTATTGTATTGTATTGTATTTTGTGTTGTGTTGGGTTATGTTTATTGTATTATATTGTAATTGTATTCCATACACATTCACTTGCATATCATCTTCTTGCCATTGCTTTACCTTTTTCAATGTGTTGCCTGCCTACATTGCTCACAAGTCTCAGTGACAGTGACCTATGGTAAAGCGTTTGTGAGGTAGGACTTATCCGGGCTCAACCCCCACTTCTCACCTTGGATCCCCCAGAGAAGAAAGCCTGCAGAGCATGTTTGAGCCCTGAATTCGATGCTGCGGCCTGGGTGTACTGAGTGCCCACACTAGGGACGTTGTAACTTGCAGTAAGGTCCGACTTCTGTGTGTCTGGCTCGGAAATGGCAAACACTTTTCCGGACGAGCCAGTCTGATGGATACCGAGAATGTCGCCTGGAGAAACCTCTATTGGAGTCGTCTGCTCAAACCACTGGTCCCCCGTGGAAGTGAAGGTCAAGGTTATAATGTTCTTGACACTGAAGGCATTGACTGAAATCACAGCCAAATAAGCGTTTGATAAAGAAAACTCTTTTGGAATATACTTGAGAATGTGTTTATGCGAGCTATGGAGTCTATTTTGAGTCTCTGTTAAGCTGGTTCCCCTTTTAATGTCAGCTTCATTTTGGTGTTACATGTGTTTTGTCAAATGCACTTGACTAGTTTCAGCTGTGAAAAAATAGATTTTTCATACTCTAGAGTAACGAAGCTTTTATTCATCTTTTGATCTGTTTTCTTCATTCATTCTAAGAAGTCTGCGGCAAATAACTAGTAACGATACATTGCGTGCCTCGAAAGAGGGCATAAAATATCTTGGCTCAGAAAAAGGCCAACATCAAAACATGACTTTACTTTGAGTAGAGGATGATCGTACATATGAGAAGCAACATGCCCTCATTGTCTTAGTACAGGATGACTTTTAAAAATAAAATAAAATTAAGCCTTTTCTCTGCATCTTTGGTGCACTGATTACGTTCCCCGCTAATGCAAGTAGACGACAAGGGTTTTTTTATTCCCTGAGGAGGTACTTTATTATATCGAGCATATCAGTTTGTGAGCTGAAATATTGCACTGTTTTCAGTCCGGATTGGCACTGGCAGTGTCGAGGCAGCCTGCCTCCTAAATAACTCTATTAAAATATGTCGATGTAAAAAAAACACTACAATTATTATTAAGAATGCTCTGGAAGGTAGAGTAGGAATATAGCGTCTCTTGTTTCATTTCACCTGAGATTGCACCTGACCCGTCGAATCTGCTGGCTTGAGAACAAGAGGCGTCGCAGGTGCCCTTCTGTGGGCAAAAGCTCTCCCCTGCAACACACGTGGTGTAGCGTGACGCACTAGTGGTCACACAGCTCCCCTGGCAGCTGTTCTGTTCATAGCAGTACACATCGGAGCTACAAGTAGGTGTCAGGACCTTCGTAAAATAGTGAGAAACTGTGTTGGGGAATTGTGACTAAGCAATTGTACGAACATTAATGTTAAGATCATATCAATTAAATTATAGGGAGCTACATGCACTGGTAAATTATTTCGCTTGCTCATCTTTTGGTGCATTTGTCACAATGCTAAGGAAGCAAGGGCATTAGTTGCAGAATCAAGAAAGGTAGCCACAATGTATCATAACAGATCGATAGGAACATTTAAACCAACATACTCATGGTACTCAGTTTGTCAATAGTTTACTCACATTCCTTGCCCGCACCACATCTAACCTACAGACATAAGAAGGGGAATGAGGAATGCATAACGTGAAAGGGTCTGCCTGTACTTAGCACATAATAGCCAAAAGAAAATGCAAACCTGAGTTTCACAATATCAGTGTCATCCGCATATAATGGACTCCAAATAAAATTGACATGACGTTTGTACTTTATCTCACTGCATAAAACAGACGTCAGCCCAGCTCTCAAACGTTTGCATACATGTAGGAATTATTTGATATGACAGTGACTAGATATCTACATTGACTAGAGAACATAGGTGTTAACGTCAATTTAATATCATGGATAGGCAATTTTCTTACCAACCGAACCCAGTATGTAAAATTAAGACATTCTTCATCGACATACATCACAACAAATACAGGGGCCCCTCAAGGATGTGTTTTGTAACCATTTTTATTCCCACTATACACGAACGATTGCCAAATAAACAACAGTAACATCAAGTTGATAAAATTTGCAGATGATTCAACTATAATTGGGCTAATTCAGGCTGACCATAACGAAACCGCTTACCGGAATTTTGTACTTAATTTTTCTGAATGGTGTGAAAATCATAAGCTGCTTTTAAATGTGAAAAAAACAAAAGAACTTGTCGTTGATTTTAGAATAAAGAAACTGCCCCTGCAGCCACTCAAAATGAAATGTGAAAACATCGAGCAAGTGTCAGACTATAAGTATTTGGGTGTTACAATAGACAACAAAGTCAACTGGCGTGTCCACACTTCTCTCCTGCATAAAAAAGTGAACAAAAGACTATTTTTTCTTAGAAAGCTAAAGTATTTTAAAGTTGATAAAACATTGATGTCCATATTCTACCATTCAACCATAGAAAGTATGATCTATTTTTGTATAACAGCATGGGCCGGGAACACAAGACAACAAGATAAAGAAAAATTAAATCGACTAATACGGAAAGCATGTAAAATTTCAACATCTTCATTCCCGTACTTGGATGAATTGTACAAAACAGCTTGCACTAAGAAAATTAATTCCATCTTTTTAAACAACAAACATCCCTTGTTCCCTCAAATAAAAACATCAGTCAGAAGTAAAAGACCCATGATTCTGATCTGTAACAAAGAAAGATACAGAAGGTCATTTTTACCATCATCTATCAAAATGCTTCCATCTTAACCATCTTGTTTAGTGTACTTACGACCTTAGAGCATGCATCAAAATATCATTGAGTGTGTATCTAGCTTACGATTATTATTGTTTATATTGCTGCTCATTTATATTATGTATGTGATTGTAAGCCTACTTGTGTGTGCATGTGCGTGCACGTGTGTACGTGTGTGTGTTTGTGTGTGTGTGTGTGTGTGTGTGTGTGTGTGTGTGTGTGTGCGTGTGTGCGTGTGTGTGTGTGTGTGTGTGTGTACTCGTGGTGGAACACCAAACCAATGTGCCAGGATCTGGACAATAAAGATGTATCTTATCTTATCTTATCTTTTCTTACTACTAGCTGTAAGATTCGACCGTACGACATTTTAAAAAGAGACGTACGGCAGAGTCTTATACTGAGCAGTGATATCTTCTTTCGAATCTGTTTTTTTACAAGTAAGCATCAGCTCTGAATTCTCGAATGTGATAAGTATAAAAGTAGAAGGAATAATTACCATGACTTCGACTGTGCCCGAGGCGGGGGTACCGTCCAGCACCATTCTCCATCCGTAGATCCGGCCTGCCATCCTGAACTGTGCAGAGCGCAGCAGGAACACTTGATTGCCCAAGGGGAAGGTTACCAGTGGGTTGCTAGACCAGGTACCCACCATTGACAGCAGAGGGTCTGTGGTCAAAGACAAGAGAGGAGAAACAGGGATTTTATATCACCGGTAGTGGTGGCTATAGTTTTGTCGTTTTCCCAATCACACCGGTTGTAGTTGTTGTTGTTGTTATATTTTGTTGTTGTTGTTGTTGTTGTTGTTGTTGTTGTTGGTGTTGTTGTTATTATTGTGGTTGGTGGTAATGGTCGTGGTGCTGCTGCTGCAGCTGCTGCTGCTGGTGGTGGGGCTGTTTTTAATGCATCTGTTTCCGTTCTTAATATTGTCCTTGCAACTTTTTGTATTTAACATATTTTTGTTTTTGTTTCTCAGGTCTATACTTCGCTCTTATTACTCCTCTTGATAATATTTTCTTTATTGCAGTTCCTGCTGTTGGTGGATCGTGCAGAAATCCCCTGTGATAATCAATGAACCTCATGTCGCTAGCTTCTGTTTTTGTCGTATGTTCAACCTGCTTTTACGGCTGTTATTGTCATGATTTTGATGTGTTGTGGCGTTGTAATAATGTTATAGCAGCTTGTAGTTACAACTGTTTGTCTTTCTGTTATTGTTTGTATGCCACTCCCTGCTCTCTTTCGGTGGCATTTTTGTTAAAATAAAAAAGGCCTGAACTTTATTTCTACAGGCTGTTTTGATTCCTTAGACACCCACCCCCCCCCCCCCCCTTGGCTATTCGCATTTTGGGAGTCACATGAGACAATTCTACATATTTTTATTAAGCATAGTTAAGTGTTATCTCAAACCCAAAGTTGTACGGCTCTGTGATTATTCGTTCACATCCGGTAGGGCTTTATTTAACCTCTGGTATTTTGCATTTTGAGACGCAATTTGCGAAGGGAAATGTCGTGGATTTCCGACAGCAAAACCAAGCGCTGGACATGCCGTATAATGGCAATTGCATTTAGACTAAATAGAGAAAGATCGAATCGAAAAACACCACAAGATCTCCCAGGGCGAATTTGAAACGGCTCTCCACAGAGTTTTGAGTGATTTAGAATTTGACACAGAATTTTGTTGCTTGAGTCTTACCCTGCACATCTGGATGCAGTTAAGAAAGTAGGTGGCAGACATACCAATATTTAAATACATGTACGGAATGTGGAATTTGAGTCATGAAATATTTTTTTCTTGAAACATTTTTTTTTATTTCATTTGTTTTATTCTGTCTATTCTGATTTAGGCTGGCGTGGGTCAGGGCAACAAAGGGGGGGGGGGGGGTTGTCTAAGGTTTCGAGACACCCTGTTTAAGTGCTACACATGGACGACCAGCAACAGCCTTTCAAAACGTGTGGTGTAATGAGTAACGATTTCTTTTAAAGTATTCCAGATGAGAAATACCATAGAGCCCTCTCAAAATAAATCAACCAGTCCAATGTTTTATAACAAATATTTCGTTGGTAGTAAGGCGATCAACGCAAACAAAACAACCGTAAAATGACCACAAACAAACAGCATTGACGTTCATAAATCATACCAAATGCCAGCAACTCTTACCAGCAATGGGGTTCAGATTGACGTCTGTGCCAGTTTTCCCCGTTACCACAGCGTCCAGTCTCAAACCCGTTCCTCGCCACACGTCCACCTGACACTTCCCCTCTTCGTGAGTGGCGAACACGGGGTCACAGGTTACCTCCACGTCTCTGACTGCTTCGTCAAGTCGGAACCCGGTCACAGCTTCAATAGACTGCAATAGCAACAGCATGCTGATATGACCAAACGTCAGATAGATACAATATGCACAGCAGTAAAACATGCACATGCCAATTGAACGAAAGTTACAGTTAGATACTTCTGCTGCTTGTTGTCATAAACGTAACAGGTATATAATAATTTCACAAGCTGTGCGTGTATGTGTGTATGTGTGTGTGTATGTGTGTGTGTATGTGTATGTGTAAGTGCTTGTACATATCCCCTCCCTACATGTGAGCTGTCAGACACACACGCACATGAATTCATACACGTACACACACACACACACACACACACACACACACACACACACACACACATATATATATATATATACACACACACTCACACACACACACACACACACACACACACACCTACACACACTCACAAACTCACACATACATACACACACACACACTCACACTCACATACACACTCACGCACACACAAATTCAATTATACACCTATAAAAATAAGCATGCGTACACAGCGCCTCCTTGAGTTCTATAAAAAAGCAGGAATATCGATTAAAAACAACCTGGAAGTATTAGCCTAGCTTATCAAATTTTGAAAAAATCAATTACTTTATCAATATTAACCAAGCGTTAATCAGAACAACTAAGGATAGCTGTAAATAAAACGAAAGAAAGGATATGACATTTCTGCAAGGGAAGGTGATGATACTATCTCAAACGGGGGAGCTCGAATTAGAAAAACTGCACATGTGATAGAAAGAAAAGCAAAACGAAATACGCAGGATTAGCTACCTCACTTGATTCATAATGGGGTTTACAAAAACAATGTTCAGGAGGGCATAAAAAGTGCCATTGTTCGGGAAATTTTTAATCAGTTCATTTTAGAGTTAAAAAAAGACTCCTACCGTTTAGAATCTAACGGGACTTAACTAATGCATTTCGCATGTACTATCAGTGAAAACGTTTTTAAAGTAAGTAGTTTCCTTGATAGCTTTTACTGAAATGAGACCTGCCGCGATGTTCGCTTCAGTACTAAACAATGGCTGCATATTGTTTTGGGGTAAATGGTGTCAGCTGACCCTAAACACGACAAGCTAGAGCAAAGTAAGCACCCCCCCCCCCAACCCCCCCCCCCCCCCCCACACACACACAATTCTCTAGGCTCCGTTGATGTTACCTGCGTTACAGTGCAGGTGGACTTGGTTCTAAACCTCAAACAACCCAAGTTTTCGAGACTTCATATCTGTACATTATAGTTTTGTCTTATCGGGGATCACGCTTCAT